ACACACACACACACACACACACACACACACACACACACACACACACAATGGAATATTACTCAGCTATAAAAAAGAATGAAAAAATGCCATTTGCAGCATCATGGAGGGACCTAGAGATTATCATTCTAAGTGAAGTAAGTCAGAGAAAGACAAATATCATATGATATTGCTTATATGTGGAATCTAAAAAAATGATACAAATGAACTTACCTACAAAACAGAAAGAGACTCACAGACATAGAAAACAAACTTATGGTTACCAAAGGGGAAAGGGGGGGAGGGATAAATTAGGAGTTTGGGATTAACAGATACACACTACTATATATAAAATAGATAAAAGACAAGGACCTACCAAAAAAAAAAAAAAAAGTATAAGACACCTTCAAAGAAAACCAGACTGAGTTAAATAAGAAATCCAATATAACTTCAGAAATCTTTTTAAAATTATAATTTAAAACTTGATATGTTAAACTGAAGATATATATCACTGAATAAATAATAGTGACTGGAAAGACAGGTCTGAGGACTACTTGGAAGCCTGCACAGCGAAATGAAGGGAGACAACACTTGGAAGAAGGGCTTACTGACATGGAGTGTGGGTGGGAGGGTCCAACACACATCTATTAGGTGTTCTAGAGGGAAACAGCAGAGAGAATGAAGGTCAGGCAATATTCCAAGACAATAAAGGAGATTTTCCAGAACTAATGAAAGCTACGAACCTCAGCAGGTTAAATAATACGAAATTCTCTACTAGACACAGCACAGTATAACTGAAACAACACCAAGTAGAAATGCAAGATCTTAGAAGCACTTATAGATAAAAGACAAGTTGCCTACAAAATAATGAGTATCAGTTTGTCCAGAACTTTGCAACAGCAAAAACAGAACAGAATCATATAGTCAAGGTGCTAAGATAAAACAGCCATCTATTTATAACTAAATTATTATTTAAGAATATGGGCAAAATAAACATTTTCAGGCAAATAAAAATGAACAGCATTTACTACTAACAGATTTTTGCTGAAAGAATTACTCAAGAATATACTTCAGAAGAAACCCTATAAAGAAGCAGTGAGATGTCTGATATTAGATAGATTTGAACAGATACTTAATACATAAAAAAGACTAATTGGGGAGTAGAAACGCAAGGTGGCATGAAGGTATAGGTCGCAATAGTATGTAAGATGGGCAGGGGATGTGCAGAGGTCAGGCATTCAGGCATTTTGGGGAGAAGGTTGGCAACATTGATTTTTTAGACTTTATTAGATCGACTATGCTTATTCAAAGTTATGTAGAGGTAATCACTTAAGATGAGAAATTCTATGTATAACTTTTCAACCAGTAGAGAACACTATGGAATATAAAAGTGTGGTCAATATAAGATAGAAGTAAGAGAGAAAATAAAGAAGCAGAGAAAAGTCCAATTAAGTATGAAGCATGAAACAAGATGACTGAAATAAATTCAAATATAGCAGAACTCAGGAAAAAAGTAAAATTAAACTCTCAAAAGTCAGTTGTATTGGATTAGAAAAATCTAACTGCATGCTTTAAAAAGACATAGAACTTAAGGACAAAGAAATGTTGAATGTAAGAGTATAGAAAGTTACTACCAAAATATTAACCCAAAGAAAGTGATGTGGTTATAATAAGAGTAGACAAGACTGTCTTTGAAGCAAAAAAGAAATATTCAGGGAAAAATGGTCACTAAATAAAGATTAAAAGGAACAATTCACTGGGAAGAGATAATTATAACTTGCAGGCACCTAAAACATAGCATCAAGTTATATGAGGCAACAAATTAATAAAATTTCAGATACATGGGCAATTTCATAGTCACGGGGATTTTGGGACACATCTCTTTCATTAACTGACAGTTTAAGGTGACAAAAAGTTAGTAGGGCTATGACTTAAGTAACACAATGAGCAAGGTTGATCAGACACCCCTGTGGCAAACGGACATTCTTTCCAAGAACACATGACACATTTACTAAAAAACCACATGTTAGGTCACAAAGCATTTCTCGATAAGCAGCAAAGAATCACACAGACCACATTCTGGTCATACTCAACTGCTAGACCAATTCAAACCAGCCACGTATTTGGAATTTTGGAGGAAAAAAACCCTTTAAATAATTCACGACTATAAAACTGTCTTAATGGAGAGTCTAAGAACAAATTGTTAACATTATAAGAAAGTTCGGCAAGATTGCTGGCTATACAAAAGTAAATTTTTATTCACTGGCAACAAGCAACTAGAAAAACTTAGTTTAGAAAACTATACATGTGAAAATAGCAACCCCAGATAGAAAGGTACATAGGAATACATCTACCCAAAGGTGTAGAAAACTTTTATGTATGAAATTTTAAAAATTCCCGAAGACTTAAATAAATGGAAAGATACTCAATATCGATGGACCTGTAGAACTGATTTCTAAAGATGTTAATTTTCTGCAATTTAGGAATGTCTTCCTATTAAAATTCAAGCTAGTTTTTTTTGAGGTTCACAAGTTGATTCTAATGTGTATAAGGCAGAGCAAAGAACCAAGAATGCCAGGCCAATCTAGAAGAGGTAGGTCAACATATGAGGGGTCACTGACTTCATCACCATAGTAAGACTTAACTCTAGTGTGACTAAGCAATAAGAAAGCGATATTAGCACAGGAAAAGACAGAATACAGTCCAGAAACAGGCCCACACACACATGAAAATTTGTATATAACAGAGATGCTATTTCAAATCAGTGGGGAAATAAGGACTTTAAGCAAGCAGCATTGGAGCAACTGCTTATCCACATGGAAAAAATAAGTTAGATCCCTATATCAAACCATATTTAAGTGGATTAAAGACCTACATATGAGAAAGCATGACTTTAAAAGTTTTGGAAGAAAATAAAAGAGAATGTTTTTATGATCTCAGGGTAGGAAAAGATTTCTTAACCACAACACCAGAAGCACAAACCATGAATGAAAAAAATCAATAAATTTAGCTACATTAAAATATTTTTTAAAATCCTTTTGTACATTAAAGGGATCATAAAGTGAAAAATACAAAACTGAGACTTGGAGAAGCTCTTTGGCACGCACTTTACCAAGAAAGGATTTGGCCCAGAATTTATAAACAGCTCCAGTGGAAAAGGCCGAATGATATGAGGACACCCAATGGCCTCAAAACATAAGAAATGATTTTCCTCCCTCCTAGTGATCAATGTCATGTAAATTAAACAAAGGGGAACTAACATTTCATATTCATTACATTGGCACACATGAAAAAGAATCTGGTGATGCCAAACCCTGCTGAGGAGAGTATAAATGGGCACACACCTTTTGGAGAACAAGATGTCAATATTTAATAAAGCGGTGGGATTGCTGGGTCAGAAGACCTGAGCATCCCCAGCTCTGTGCAACATTGTTTAAAACACTGAAAAATTGAAAGAAAGCTTAAATGCAGGTATGGGATCTAGCAAGGGACAGATGTTTAATTAAGAATCTATCGCATACACATATGTTTATTTTCTGTACCTATTTTTGTATCTTTAAAAATTTCTTAATTAAAACATCAGTTTTAGTGGGGGTTATGGGGAAAGCGCACTGGCACAGAGCTAGTGTGACTGTCAATTGGTACAGCCACCTCCCAGGGCAAATGAAAATGTCATGTGGTGCAATTCTTTCTAACCCCTTGAATGGACAAAGGTGGAAAAGTTCCATGACAGCTTGCGTTGCCAAGAGTGTTGGGAGAGAGGCATGTTCATGCACTGCAGGTGGGAATGTAGTTTGAGGACACCTCTGTGGAGGTTATTTTGCCAACAGTTAATAAAATCGTAAATCCCCTTTGACCTGGTACAATGTCCTCTAGGTATTTATTCTAAGAAAATACGCTATATTAGAGCAAAACTTTATCTACACAGAAGTTCATCATAACAATGACAGCGTTGTTTGTAATTTAATAATAGTAAAAGAAATAACTAATACTAACATTATCTAGACTACTAACCCTAGACTAAACATGTCCAACACTAATAGGTTCTAATTTATGGTACAACTGTAGGACGGAATATTATGTAGCCATCAAAATGATGCTCTTGATTCTTTTTAATGATGTGGAAGCTCTTGCAGAATATTAAGCTAATATGAAGTAGATTACAAAACAGCACGTGCTGTATCTATGCACTGAAGCAAAGACACCAGAATGTTACCAGAGGTTACTTCGGGATGGTTAGAGGCAATTTTATTTTCTTCTGGATTAAAAAAAAATCTTTTTCATACATTTTCTGTGTGTGTGTGTGTGTGTGTGTGTGTGTGTGTGTGACCTTCGTTTTAATAGGAGATGTTCTTCTTTGTTGAAATAATTTAAACAGGCTGCATGATATGGACGGACAACGCCAGAAGGCCGGGGGCCAAGTATGACGGATTAGCCGGGTTCCTTGGGAAACCTAGTCTGATGATCACAGAACCTGGAGAAAGAACCTTGGGTTCACTGTGATGTCACCACTGGCAGCTGGGCGATCGGGAGAGCTGCTCCTCCTCTCGGAACCTTGTTTCGCTTCCGTGCAAAAGACCTAACAGCCTCGGCTGGCCTGGCTCCCGGCTCTGTTTGGAGGGTCAGCGGGAAGGTGTCTGGCGTGCGCGCGCGGTTTGCCAAGCCGCGGGCGCGGTGCTTTCCTCGGAGATTGCTGTTGCCGCGGCTGGGCGGCGGCAGCAGCTGCAGCAGCAGCAGCAGCAGCGACGCGGGCTTGGGGCGCGGGGGCGGGGCCGAGCGCGGGGGCGGGGCCGGGGCAGCGGGGGCGGGCCCGGGGCGCCCCGGGTGGCGGAGGCGGGGGAGGCGCGCCGCCGCTTCCGCCGCCCGCGGGGATCCCCCGGGACTGCCGCCCGGGGCAGTCCCGGTGCGTGCGGGTACAAGAGGCAGCTCCGGGGCCCCACGCCGGCAGTCCCCAGCGATGTCGCGCGGCCTTCAGCTCCTGCTTCTGAGCTGCGGTAGGGCCCGCGGACGCCCGGCGCCCCCCGCCCGCCTCCCCGGGACACCCCCTTTTCTCGCTTGCTCACGCCGCTCTCTCTCCCTCTTGTAGCCTGCAGCCTGGTGCCCGCGGCGCGGGAGGTGAAGGTGGCCTGTTCGGAGGATGTGGACTTGCCCTGCACTGCCCCCTGGGACCCGCAGGTCCGCTACGCGGTTTTCTGGGCCAAGGTAAGCGCGGCGCGGCAGGCGAGTTAGGGTTGGGTGGTTTAATTGCAGACTGGGCAACCACCTTCCTTGGGCTGGCGACCCACTATGGCTCGGGTTCGGGGGCATCTCCCATAGCTGAACTCGGTACACGGTCTTCCCACACGCCTCTCCCATCAGCGCTCCAAGCCCAGCCGCATCCAGGTACAGGCCGACTTAGATTTAGTTCCGCCGGGGACCTCAATCTTCTTGCCTCTAAAGGTGGCCCTGAGATGAATGATCCAAATAAGACGTTGTGGAGGGCAGACGTCCCTCCAATTAATTTGGATTAATTCCAGAGGCCACCTGTGGTTATGGACAGCAGGCCAGGGAGAAAGCAGCTAGTGCAGATTTGGCATTGGACGGGAGGAAGGTCTCCCGGATTTCTGATTTCTGGTGTTTTGTGACGGTGGCGCTCATACATTTGGGGAGGCGGGAAGGGGGCAACTTGAGAGGAAGGAGTGCCAGAGAGTAGTGATAGGCTTGTTTCTTAGGTGGTAGTTATCTGTCATCCCCGTTCTGGGGTACCCTTGGCCTCCTCCCTCTGGCCTTCCTGAGAGGTCCAGCAAGGAGGGTGTCTGTGATGGTGCACAGAGGCTTCCCCGCGTGTAAGAACAGTGTCACTGTCTCTACTGTAAGAGAATTGAGTCAGACTGAGGCTTTTTTAAGGTTTCCTCTGAACTGGAACCTTTGCAGATTCTAAGATTGTGGTTCTGGTGGCACTGGAAACCCAAGCTGTCACTGGTTTTTTTTTTTTTTTTTTTTTTTTTTGCTGCCGATGCTCCCTGCCTTTAATGAGGTTACTGCCACAGTGGCACCTCTGGCTGAAGCACCATGACTGTGATATCCCAGCCTTACTCTGCGGAGCTCACTGATTTGTCATCTTACCTTGCAGGAAATCTCTGTGCGTTTGTAGCTTTCCACAAAATGCTGGGTTTTCTTCTGCCCACCATAAAAGATGCTGTAAGAACCTGCACAAGTATCTAGCCATTTAACAAGGCAGCATAGGACCGTTAACCTCTTCGTGCATGTGTGTGTGTGTGTGTGTGTCTCCTAACCAGATTGTCAGTTCCCTGGGGACAGTGCTGCGCCACTGCTTTTGTGTATCCTGCACGGCACCCAGTGTTTGCCCTGCTAATTTTGAAGATGCTCAGTGAATTCAGGCAGACCCTTTATGATTATGCACAGTGGAAACGGTGCTGGGGCCTCGGGACGCTGCATTGTGTATGAAAGTAGGTTTGTTATTATTCCTACTTCATTTCCACCTTATTCACTGTGGGATCAGAGAACACAGCAATTCCAAAATTGTTCCCTTGTAAAAACAATAGTATGTAAATAAAAATATTGTAAAACCAATATTATTTGAGTACTCACCATCTGCCAAGCTCTGAGGTAAATATCTATGTACATCAGCTGTTCCAATCCTTCCAATGGACTTAAGAGATCAATACTGTTACTGTTCCTGTTTTACAGATGAGGAAACTGAGCCTTAGGGAGTGAAATAATCTGCTCACTGTTACACAGCGGGCTAATCGCTGGAGGTGGGATTTGAACCAAGCAGTCTGGCTCCACAGCCTAGGTTCTTAGAGGTCTGTCTTGTTATTTCTGTTTTCTCCGTTAATTACTTAAAGAAAATTAAAGTGTCTTTGGGCTAGCCAGGCAGGGACTTGGTTATCTAAAAGGAGGGGAAAAACATGAAACCACTATCCCTTTCAGAGAGCAATTAAAAAGGGAAAACAATATTAATATCCCCAGGGGAGTAATTACAAAGTACTCATGAAACAAGTAGATGAAATTTCAGACTGTAAAGTTCAAACAGTTGTCAAGTTAAATCTTGCACGAGGTCATTTGGAATGATGCAGTAAGCCAGAGTGATTAACCTTTGACTTTTCCTTGGCTGTCAGCTGATGATGTAACTCTATAATGTATGTGCTTGTTTGTTGAACACAGTTCTTGCAAGCTTTAAAGACCCTGAAGGTCTCTCAAAGCTCTGTTAAGAGAAAAAGACAATAGTCTCTTGGCATTCTCTTTTTTTCTGTTGGTCCGTGGAGTAGGGTCATTGAAAACTCATACCCTAGTTATTTTTTTTAAGGAGGAAACTGTGATTGAGTCATGGTGCATAGGAGAGCTATGCTATGCCAGAAAACTAATCAGATACCTTGAAAGTGATATGCTTTATTTTTCAAGTACTTTTGAACAGATCTCAGCGTATTCTGTAGATGTTTGTTATTTTCCAGCCCAGTAATTATACTTCTGCATCGATTGTGCTTGCACAACAAAAATGGTTAGAGTGTACTGGAAATAAGGCCAGTGGTGAAATGCTGAAATTCTGCATTTTACAGAAGATTATCTTGTCATTTCCTCCCACGACTTTCTTGTAAAATGTTTCAGTGATGCGGAGAGGTAGCTGTGAAGTGAGGAATTTACGCCTGGTGACCACAGCCAGCCTAGCTGGATCATCAGTAGGGTGGTTTGTAAAACCACTTTGCACAGTTGTAGGCTGCTTGCGGATCAAGTAAGCAGAGAGTCCCTTGGAGTGTGGGGTTTCGCCGTCCGCCAGATTGAATCGCATTCTTGCAGGCCTTCTGCATATCACAATTACAGTTATAACGACTCACAATTTAAAAATCCATTTACCACTCAGTTCTCCGGCACCACAGAGCATCCTGCCACTGTCCAGTTGGCACTGATTACTTACGATTAACAAAAGGACCCATGTAAACTATGTGTTTCTTATCATGTGCCTTTTACCAAAAGGCTCGGAGCAGACGGCATCCATTTAGTGTTTGCAACATTAGGGTGAGTTGGGAACAGTGTCCATTTTATTCTCTCTGTTTCAAAGGTACAATGACAGGGGACTGGGCGGGGGGTGTAATATAGACATGCCCAGGGGTCAAAGGTAGAGCCAGGAGTAGGCAGAGATAGCCCAATTCCTGTTAGCCCAACTCTTCTTTCCTGTGGACTGATGTCTTCCCAACTGGGATCCAAGAACGGGGCCTCCTCTCATCCCTTCCCGTATTGTACCTTTGAAGGCAGAGTGAATGATTGGGAAGAAATAGAAAAGTTAATGCGGTATATATCCGTTCAGTTTAGCTCTTAGGATTGGGAATAGACTGTGGTTGTTGAGGGAGGTATTTTGAGCTATTCTGAGGCAAAGAGACATTGGTCCATCACTCTTCTACCAAAGTAGAAGAACGTGGCTGTTAGATTCTAGAACAAGAGGGTCATAGCCCAGTCCCATGTCTGCCAGGAGTAAGGACATCCCTTAAAGAGCTACGTCTGTGCTGCATGCGGAGCGGGTTCACACTCTTTTTAATGAGGCTGCACTAGGTCTGGAAGGGGAGGATGACACTGGATGAATGGAGTGTTCAGGCGTGGTTGAAGTTCGCCACTGCTCGTAATGAGTGGTTACTTACGAGGGCGACGTAGCACCGTCTCGTATTGTGCCGGGAGCCCCAGCACCCTAGGGTGAGGCATAATGAAAGAGGATATATAGTGTCATCTCTGAGTGACACCACGGGGGTGAGGACAGAGGTGCGTCACGAGACAAGTGCCCTTTCTAGATGATTTCCAAAGGAAGGGAGAAGGGGGAAGTGAGACCACGATTTCAGAGAATAGATCAGACTTGAACTTTACAATATTTAGGAGAGATGCAGCTATGGCAGGTCATGGGCTCTCCTGGGGACTAAAGGAGAGCAGATTCTTGGGCTCGCATGAAGCTACTTCTAAAGTTCCAGGACAGTCGCTGCACAGACATTGCCTGTCCTTGATCTGTTAGGAGCTGTCCTCCATGTATGTTGCTAATCTCCTATTCAGTGGAGTCCTGTTTTTTTGTCTCTAGCATCTTGTGTGACAATGAGCCCCCAAGCGAGGAAGTGCTAAGGAGGAGCCTTCGGATGGGCTAGGGTTGATGAATGGCCCGGGCAGATGGCATCTGTACAGCCACCAACCCTGATGGACCCACGAAGGAGACAATGCATGCCGCTCCCTGCACTCACCTGATTCTAGAGTGACGTGTGTTTTAAGATAGATTTGAGATGTTTTAGGAGAAAAAGGAAACATTTCTACATTAAATACAGAAGCGCCGAAACATGGAAATGCGAAAACAATGCCTGTGTGAGCATCAAAGAAAAATCATACCATCCCCATATACGACTTGACGTATAGGGGACGTATAGTCCCCTATACGACTTGACCTGATTGAATAACCTTTAGGTCAGACTATGAAAGGCAAAAAGTGAATTTTCAGATGTCTCCCGTATTTACATTTTCCTCAGTTCATAAATATTTCTATGTCCCGAATGTGTGCCAAGCCCTGCACCTGGCAATAGCCATCCTAAGACCAGGGTGGACCTTTTGCCAGAGGACTGTCAAGGGCGTGCACACATGAATCCACACGCATTTGGGGGGACTGAGGGGAAACTAATGATCTGGAAGGGAGAATCATACCACAGAGGACTGAGAGGTACTGCCAGCAAGCAGGCTGGGAACAGACTGTGAACACCCCCGAATGCTGAATTATAAGGGCTTGAACTTGGTCCTT